ATGAATGAGTGTGTTTCTGATTATGTTGAGAAATAATTTATCCAAGGGGATAAATTTTATGTGAGGGAAGTTTCAAGGCAATTAGTACTTTCAATTTATCCCATTTCACATGCTTTTCAATAAAACTCTTGATAGAGGATATAAACAATTCTCCTCATATACCTGTTTTAACTTGCAAGTGTATTATTTTATTCACTGAACTCCATTTATAATTGATTTACAGATTCTTATGAGGAAGACGAGGATTATGTCCCATCTGATAATGAATCGTCGGAAGAACCATCATGCACCACTTTACCATCAAAGAGAAAAAAATGGACTGTGGATGAGGAGAATGTCCTTAGATTTGAATTTAATAAGAACTTTAAAGATAAAAACATACCAAGAAATGCAGAAGCACTGAAAGTAAAAAACAAATACAAATTTCTTGCTGATAGAAATATTCATCAGATAAAGAGTAAAGTGCAACATATGCAGAGACGTAAATGAGTTAACAAAGTTAGGATTTTTGTCATGCAGTCAAACATGATTCTGTGATAAACTTTATAAACTGGAACAGTTACTCCTGAAAAATTAAATAAATTCCTTGGACTAATTTTTTGATCACCTGAGTTAACTAAGATGTAGATACCTGTATGCACTCTCTGCTTCCTGTCTGCATCATTTGTCCCTGAGGTGTGACCTTATGGTTGTTTTTTTATTCATTTTATAATGATATTGTCAGCATTATGATATTATAATGTCTTATGTGTAACTTTTTTTGTTAAAAGTTAAGTGAACATGATTGAAATATTATGAGAGTATATACCCCATGATAATTATCTGCATCAATTGTCCCTGGGGTGTGGTTTGAAGTGCATTAGTGTAAAGATGTTAAGAGTATGGCATATATTGCCTATATTTTAAAAGTATATTACAAATGCACGTTAGAAATACTTATAGTTTAAAAAGACAGTTATGTTACATATCTAATGGGTAGGTTATGAAAAATGTTACAGTGTATTATATCTCCCCATTGGGGGTTAAAATCAAACACTTGCTGCATGCAAGTACAATGTGACTGTGGCACCTCTGGTTTTTAGCTCTACTGGTCATAGACCAGAAGAGCTTATGTGATGGCAAGGTGTCCTTTGTGTCCTTTGTCTTTTCCCTGTCTGTGTAGTCTGTCTGTCTGTTTCTCTCTGTGTGAACAATTTTCAAAATGCTACTTCTCCTACAGTTTTTGTCTCATTTAAATAAAACTCAGTACATATGTAGTCTGCATCAAGATACATAATTCTGACTATGGTTCTTGATTTCAATGAATGAAATTGCCATGGTTACAAAAATTATAATAATCTGTGAAATTGTTTCCAATACTAGTTCTACAGTTTTGTTCGATTTGAATTTAATAATTTCACTAGTAGATTGCATAAAAACCCACAATTCTGTTTTATCAGTTTTTCATTTCATTGAATGGTGTTGTCATGGTTATTAGTAGAATTATCTGTAAAATTCTTTCAAAATGTTACTCCTTCTACAGTTTTGTTAGGATTTTAATTGAATCAATTACAGGCTTAAACCAGTCGAGCTACAGTCTTATCAGAGACTTGCATATTTATAGACCATGAATCAAATTAGACTTTATAATTAATGCAAATTAAATATCTTTTCTTCAATGACACTTATTTTCAGCAAATCTTTTCTTATGTGTTGTTTTATTATTTACAAAATATGGAAAACAATAATCCCTAAGATGTAATGTTTTATCAATATCAAGAACGTTCACATTTAATTGTCTTGTGTATGAAATAATGCATGAAACATTTTCTTAACTTTGAGAAATAAAATTTAATCTTGAACTGATAAAAGTGTTACCTTTTTAGTGTTATATTACCTCTGCAAATAAAGGTGGCATGGAATATAGGGTTTGCCTTGTCTGTCTGTTTATCTGTGTGTCTACATGACAAGTGTTGATGAGGGATTGCCATGCCATGAGCATAACTTTGGGGGAGAACATTGGCTGCTGCTTATATTTGACACAGAGATGGACATGACCAGGGGTTTATCATGACCTTGACATGGTATTACTTGGACAATGTCACCAGGATAAAAATATTTTGTGTTTTGGCCTTTATCAGGTATTATTTAGAGGTCACAAGGAGAATTTGGTTTGGGCCTCAGCTGTACTAGAAAAGACCTAAGTAGACACACAGGTTACTTAAAACCTAATGCTATGTCATTTGATGAGTTCAGGGTCACTGTATGGAGTGTGCTAATCGAAAATCTACTTGATTTGGATCACTTGCTATATTGCTTTGTGTACTCTGATGCAAGTAATTTTTTAGTAATTAGGAAACCTCTTAAACCTTTATAGAATCAGTGTAGATTAATTTGAGTGAACATTTAAATGGAAACCTGTTGGGAATCCGATACCGTCCTCATTTACTAAGTTAGTATGGGAATTTTGCTTATTTTGAATTATTTCAAATTTTTTCATACTATATTCTGTTGTAAAAGTGATTGTATCTAAGTTTTCTCCCCAATTTACCCACGAAACATCATCTAATTTCTATAAATTACGCTTTTTAAAGAAAGTTTTTTTTTAAAGTCATTAAAATTATTAAGAATATTAAATTAACCATATAAAAGTAACTTTGGACCCCCCCCCCCCCCGAAAAAAAGCACAAACTCTTAGCAGTCATTCTACGATAAGAGGACGAATTCAAAAAGTTAATTGATTTTCAGCGATATGCTATGACTTCTATGAAAAAGGATCCATGCATTTCTTCGAGAAATGTGGTTTGTTTTCTTTCTATTACATGAAAAACTTTTTAATATTCCATGCAATCTATTCTTAACGCTTATAGGGCTGAATTGAAATTTGTAAATGAATGAAGCGACATTAAGATTTGAAGTTGAATGCGTTTTAATCATTAAATTTACGCGTGAAAACCGCGTGCTACCGATGTTTAAGGAGGGGTAGATGACACAAAAATATGGTAATCTTTAAATATACCAATAAGTTTCATATTAGTTGAAGCAGTTTTTTTATTATTAGTAAAACAAAAACGTATATAAGTGGCATTCTCTCTAATAGTGCAGAAAGAAATTTCGAATGATCCATCAAAATATAGCTAGTGATCCAAATCTAGTAGATGATTGTCGATTAGCACTTTCCATACAGTGAGGGTGGGGTGTGATGAACTGTGTCTGGGACATTTCTGTGTAATAGAAACTTGAGAATTTTATTGTTGACACGATTTGAGGGTTTGTCCTGCACCTGACACGAGTCAATTGGACAGTTTGAGAAATTGTATTGATTGTATCGAGGTCATCAACTTTTGAAATTGTATTTTTCTTCTTCTGAATTCAACTGTTTTTTTTTTTTGTTTTTTTTTTTTTTATAGATTTTATTCACCGGTATTTGAAAGGAAAAACTATGAAATTCAATTAATTTCCTTGAATACTTTAGTTATTATTCTTCTGTTACACATAGCTTGACTGGTCAATTTACATGTACTGATGGTTACTAAAATTGTGGAAAAATCCCAGGAAAAAAATGGACACGCCACACGTATATATTCTTACCCACTATGCAATTGCTGTTTATTTTATACATGTATGTTACATATTGTTGTATCTATTACCCCCCTCTCCCCCTCCCCAAAGCATACTGGTATTAACGTTTGGTTAAGGACAGTGTTTAGGTCTGATCCCACTTTACACAAAAGTATTCAAATAAAACTTGCAAAAATCATAGTTCATAAGATATGCCTTGACTATTGCATACATTGATAGCTGCATCTTGCTTAAATATTACATAATTATATCAATAAGCATTGAATTAAAAATTGTATGCTATATATAATTGGTTTTGCATCCACACATGGTTTGTGGGATATCTCCCACAAAGAATATATATATATATTGCTATGATATGGTTTGTGGGTTCCTACCCACAAGTATGTTATATATAATTATCTACTATAGATCGCTGTGGGACATATACCCACAATGTAATGACCCACAACGTTATCTATAGCTTTGAAACCAAATATGAGAAAACTTTATAATTTTTCTATATTTGGGATCTACATCAAAAACTATTCTTAAAAATGTGTTTCCTATTGAAATAAGCCTATTACAAATGCAGGGTCCCATAAACCATGTTTATGTGACATGACCCACAAACCACGTCAAGTACGTATATATATATATATATATATATATATATATATATATATATATATATATATATATATATATATATATATATATATATATATATATATATATATATTTACATTTCCAATGTCTTTGTCCGAGATAAAATTACAAATTGTAAAAATACTTTATTTCTACATAAATCCACTGGTTCATCGATAGGCGCGGTTAAAAAAAAATCACGTGCGGGGCGGGACAAATAGAGACAGAAGCGGGGCTATTAGCACGGGAATTTGCAGAATCAGGAGCATGTAAATATAAGGAATAACTGTCTAATTTTTTTGGATTCATGACGATGATCAATCGATTGGCTTGCGTGATAATTTTATGCATAAACGCCTTCGGCGTTTATGCAAATTATCACGCAAGCCAATCGATTGATCACATCATGAATCCAAAAAATTAGACAGTTATTCCTTAAATATATATATATATATATATATATATATATATATATATATATATATATATATATATATATATATATATATATATATATATATATATATATATATATATATATATATATATATATATATATATAAAACAGAGACGATTGCTCAAACTACGTTTATTATCATCCCATCCTTTGTGAATTTTTAGTAATGCTAATGACAAAATGAGATCTATATGTCAAAGATAATATGCATTATTTAAGCATTTTTCTCACTGACATTTGTATAGGGTGTTATTCATAAAATTATTTGCCAAGTTTTATTTACATAAAATGATTTGTAGATAATTTACTCTATAAATGACAATTTCTTTGACTAATATAATTAATGAACTGATGATGTGACAATTTTATGTTTTTTCTATAAAAGAAGACTACATGCTGTTTATTCATAAATTGGTTGGACCTCGTAAAAATAAAGGTATGTGTAAACTTGGCGAAGTCAATTTCTTATGTATACATGTATAATTTATTATATGGTAAAATTTTAAGGTATGGTAAAGATTGTCAAATAAAGCGATTCAAAAGAACTTTATAATGTAGTCTGCATAAGATTCGAATTCATGTTGGAATTAATATTTATTTAATAAAACAAGTTTCTGAAGTATGATGTTTAGCTGAATGTGTAGGTAATGACATTTCATCTGCAGAGACCACTCGTATCATGGATTGCATTTTAGGAGTTTTTTTAATTGATGGCATTTCTTTTTAACGTGCAAAATTATCCTCTCTCGCTCTCTTTCTCAATTTCTCTCTGAGAAAAAATTTTTTTTATTCAATTCATTTGATGAATCTGTCACATTATAAGGATGGCCTGTAAGTGAATGTAAACAGGGAATCCTAAGGGAATTTTTCATTAAAACACATGTTCAATCAAAGAAATAAGTTTAAAAAATATATTACCCTAAATAATCCGTTTATCTTTATGTGAGTGAGATTAATTTTTTTCCCGCATCTGATTTTGAACTTGGATATAACTTTTTCATAGTATGCTTTAATCATAATTCAGTCAAGAGGCTTGAATCTGTTAAAGCGTTCTCTTATTCACGTTAAATACAGTTAATTTACCACCTGCGATATCTTTCACACTTTACCGTATAGTGAGTTTCTTTACCGGGTGTAAAATTTGGCGTTTTGTTTGCACACAAGTATGCCAAAAATTTTGGCGTAACTTTTTTTGAGGCATGGAGTTTCATGATTTTGCAAAAATGAGAAAATTTATCTTTTAGATGAGTTTCAGTACTTTCAATGTATATTTGAATACCAGTAAATACCAATATCGTTTGAAAGATATAAAGTTTAACAACAGACTGATTAAAGTCGTTAAGTTATTTTTCTTGTATTCAGTATTTATAAGCAGGAGCGCAAATTTAGCGATGAAAATTTTAGCGGTCTACTGCAAAACCGCTAGAAAAAGCCAAAGATAGCACCGTCCAGAAATTCCCGCTATAGGTATACTATCTTTTTTAATGTATATATAATAAAGTTTCATTTATTATTAAGAAGGATTTCGCTATGGATTGTATGGACAGTGAACTGTTGTTGTTTTTTTCAGATGTTGAAGTTATTTCTTCTCTTCCTTCTCTTCGTCGTTTGCAGCGCTCAGTCTTGTAGGGATTGCACTGTCAGAGAGCAGAAATATCGAGGAAACACCAATTTCAAGTTCGACACTGGTTGTCTTCGGTATTCGTGTCAATGTTATTGCAACGGTTCATATTACTGTCCCGCCTATTTAACAAAGAATATCTGCCAAGATCAACAGGGAAACAAGAAGCGATGTCAAAACTGCAAGGTTGATGGGAGAAGATACGGGCGAGGGCGGTTCCTATTCCATAGAGGTTGCTACCGATTTGATTGCGACTGTAATTGTGACGGCTCCTACAAGTGTCCTTCATCGAGGACCAGATACATGTGCTAAAGATTTACTGAAAATTCTCTGAAATATTTGTCATTGATAATTAAACATCAATACTCTAATGACAATTATTATAATAATCATACATTTTTCCAATCAAAATATATTCAGGACTTTTGAAAAAAAAAGGTTATGCTGCATACTACTTTTAACTTATTTATAACAGTTGCAGATGATATGTTTGAAAAGAATCATATTATAAATATATGAACATGCTTATGATATATTAAAAAAAAAATAAGAAAAAAAACAAAATCAAATTTAAACAAATGCGAAAAAATGTACAAAATCAAGATCTTGATTTGAGAATTATGAATCCTATCAAATGTCCCTCCTGCATTATAAATAATTAAAATATGTTTTTTAAAAGGTATTTGCTCTAACTCAAGTCCACTCTGCAAATAGATATGTGTCTCATAATCTTATGAACCAACGATGAGTAATATAATTAAATGGGGAAAGGCAAATAAATGTAAACACATTGATTTCAATTCTTTCAGAAGTGACCACAAAATTTGAAATTCATAACTACTGATATAACTTTTTTTTCAATTTATATCAACTTAATATTAATTTTAAAACAAATGGGCCAGGTACCATCAAGATATGTTTGAGAGAGTCTGGAAAATAAAATTGCAAGTTTTGTTCAGAATTGGAAAGGCTTACAATGATATATTTCCTTGTAGGTTAAATATGTTATTTCTGTGGCAGTTGATTTACCACTTGCCGCGGATACAAGGTCCCTTGCTTTTCAAAAGAACTCATAACTAAGGCCTTATATTGTGCTTCCTGTAAGTTTGTCTCTGTTTTATGGGAACCCCGCTATTTATGACATAATATGCAGAGAATTTATATAGTGCAAGAATGCGATGCCCAAATAGTACACAACTTTTTTCCTGGAGAAAATGCGACAGCCTTTACACTGGAGATTAAACATATCATACTTCGAACGTCGCTTGAAAACGCTATGGATTGCTCCACAGAAACCCTTACATTAGATATTTTTAAAATTTATAATCGCTGAGTTTTATACATTGGACAAAAAAAAAAAAAAAGAAATAAAGAATTATAATTTAGAAAATAGTGTCATTATTGACAAAGATATTATCAAAAAAAAAATCCCAACAAAATATCTTAAATATCTTACTAATCAATTACACATCGTTACGTGAACTGATTCCACTGAGTCATGAAAAAGGTGTTTCATATAAAACTACTCAAAGAATGTACAGGGAAATTTGACGTCTGCAAACAGGTTTGGGATGGGGAATCTAATTAATTTGTCGTATCGTTATAAAAATCAGCATAATATTTACAATATTGTTGTGCTTTGCATGTAAGTACGTCAGGGTTTAACAGTACACAAGTCGGAGATAAGTGCACTACATAGCAAATCTTTACTTTTTAGACATACATGTAGTACATGCAAAACTCAACACTTATATATATATAACTTGTATATGAAGAAAGTGGAGTGCAGAAAATATAAAGAATCAAAAATTTCAGGACTAGAACATTTTGATAAACCATTCTTACACTGTTAGAATCATACAAAATAAAATTTACTTTGAATCTCTTAAAACGTCATCTTATTCACTCCTCTTATAAAGTCATTTTACATTATGCTCATTATTCCACCTTAAATATTTAGTTTTGTATACTGCTGTACATATCAAGTAAAATCAGAAAAACACGTATGAAAAATCAAAAGATATTTCATTTGTGCTTTAGATCAGATGAATAAAGTATACAGGTATTGAATTAATGTGTCAAATATGCTATATTTAGTTATTGCAATTCGGTCATTTATTTTTTCAAATTGAAGTAAAGTTCCGCCTCTTTAAACATTTAGCTCTTACTTTTAGTTCTTTTATGTGCAACTCGATGTATTTCTATTAGGGATGTCAACGAATAGTCGACTATTCGACTATCAGTCGAATGGACCGACGATCGAATAACGAAACGACATTCGAATAAATAAATTCAATAAAAGAGTGATAAAGAGATGGAATTCTCGTCTTATAATTGGGAAACCGTCTTTCTCAGACACAGTCGATAAGAAAATGTCCATCACTAAAAACTGCTGACTTTACATGTAGAAAGTACAGTGATTAGAAATGCTTCACTTCCGCGAGAATTATTTGTAATAATCACTGTTTTTTGTAATGAAATTATCTCGCTATACTGCGCTTTCTTTGTAAAATTATTAATTGGACTTGATCTCATACCATGTAACCATTATAGCCGTGACATGTTTGGACACTGCGATAATTACTATAAAATTAATATTCTTTTATATATTTTAACGCTGCATTACACTTCCGGAATTTTGCATAGCATTTCCGACATTTTTAAATTTCATTTCCGACAATTTTTATTTTGAAATGCAGCCAATTTTAAAGACATTTTGATAGTTATAACAAAAAGTATATTCAAATATTTAACACAGACACCGTGTGTGCCCCCCTCCACTCCCCCCCCCCCACCCCCTCACCCCAATCAATCTAATAAGTTTTAAGAAAAATACATTTATATCGTACTGTCATTTTAAAACCGACTTTACAGACCGATTTATGAATATGATTGACTGGGAAATCATACATTTTGGAGGAATTAGCGGTCTATATCTAGTAAATATAAACACACTATCCACATATTAGGTCCATGTGAACATCTGTGTGTAACGTATTATGTGACTTTTTCATAAACTTTAAAAAAGGGGATTTGGGGTTAAATATGCCATGTATCAGTGACGTTTGAAATTAAATTTTAGTTTCCGAAAAAAGTTTCGAATATATTCGACTATCGTTCGAATAATGCAATCGAATATTCGAATAAAGAAAATAAATATTTTGACATCCCTAATTTCTATTGAAGTCTCCAATATTCTCATCCTCCAAAACAAATGAATGGATTTTATTTTGTATTAATATTATTTTTAAAATGAATTCATATACATGTACATTCACCATTCATTTAAAAATCAACAAGCGATTATTGTTTTAAATACATTTTATACTTTCAACAGGTCCAAGTAATTTTAAGGGAGAGTCTGTCATAAACATCATGATCATTGAACATTATCAACAAAATGCAATTTCTAGTAATGGTTTTGGCCAATATGATGCGTAAATGTCAAAAGGCAAATGAAAACCAATTTAGAAACGTAAATACACAAATTTATGCAGATTTTACATTTAGAGTTGATGAAATAATTTGCAATATTTTATGTAAAATGAATGATGGGAATTTTTCTCCTTGGCGATTATTTTTTGTCAAATAGTGATAATGACCTGATGGTATGGCTAATAAATATAAATGGTTTCCTATAAAAGATAACTAAATATTTTCCATTCATACTTTGGTTGGACCTTGTAATAAAGGTAAGTACTAGTCACATTAGATCTAAATATTTCAATGAAATCCGTATATGTATCTTACTTTACACCTTGAATTTTTTTTACATGTACAATGTATGTAAATTGTAAAAATTAATAAATCATTTAATATTGGGACTCAGTCAAAAAACAATTCTAAAAAACTATAAGAATTTATATTTAAAAAAAAAATGTACACCTCCCTCTCTCTCTCTCTCTCTCTCTCTCTCTCTCTCTCTCTCTCTCTCTCTCTCTCTCTCTCTCTCTCTGAAGATGTTTAACACAAAGTGAATATTAATTGATTTACAGCTTAGTTTTCGTTTCAAAAATATATATTAGACAAAACCATATACACGCATTGCGTCTTGGTTTTCTTCATCAATACATTTTCATTTTAGTCTTCTTTTCTTTTTAATGAACGCTCCATGATCGGAAGATCGTGGGTTCGAGCCCCGTCCGCGTCTGACCTGAGTCGATAAAAAAAAAGGTAACAACTGTTCCTTCGCCAAGCACTCGGCACATTGAAATAAAGGTGAGGGTCCTTCGGATGAGACCTTATAAACCGAGGCCCCGAGTCACGGTAGGCGTTGGCACGAGAAAGATCCCTCACTGCTCAATGGTCCTTAGTACCGAATAAAAGTCTAAATTTCACCTTTATATGGTGACGTTTCTATATGAATGAAAAATTCTCGAATGGGACATAACAACATACAATCAATGAATCAATCTTTTCAATGAAGAAAATGACCTATACAATATGTAACATCACTAAATGTTGAAAAAATTATGTATAAAGAAATATTTTTAAATTAAAAAAAAATAGATTTTTTTTTAAATCATCGTGACCTTTAATCTGGCGGATATCAGTTAGTCTACGGAAAATTTAGGTAGAATACCTATTAATTCAAGATCCATAATCACTGAAATTAAAAAGAATGTTACCTTAAAATGATATAAAATTTTCTATTTCTATCTTGATTTGATAATGCGCCATTTTTGGTATAATAGTGTTTCCTTCACTATGCAAGATAATGCAGGCAAATGAAAAGTAAAATTATTTCAAAAAGTGGTGAAAATTTTATAGTAAGATTCTTTGATGTTTTTGATTGTATATGATTTCAAATTTTAGAAGATGGCAAGCGACTCAAATGGTTAAATAAATATAATAACCTAATCAAAACATTGAAAAATCTACATCATCCGATAACTGAGTACTTACGATTTAAGTCAATTACATTCTATAGTGTTCCTGTGTTGCAAGTCGACGTTATTGAAATACATTTATTTTGTTAGGAGGAATTTCACTTTAAATTGCATAGACTGAAAGCTATTGATTTTTACAGATGAAGCTGTTGTTTCTTCCTGTCTTCCTTGCGGTTGTCGCTTGCACTGTTCAATCCTGTAGGGATTATTGCTATAGCAGAGGAAAGCGATACCTAGTAGATGAAACTTACTCGTTTGACATTGGATGCACTCGATACACTTGTGAATGCAGATGCAATGGGATAATTTACTGTCCCAAAAATCTAACTAAGAAAATACCCTGCGGAAGAAAACGAAGGAGCCAGAACCAGATTGATTGGAAAAGATAGCGGAGTGGGGCGATAACTAGTTGACAGAGAGTTGCTTTCGATATGACTTAAAAATTGGAACGGATCCTTCTACTGTTCATCACTGAACAGATACATGTACTTGTTTATATACTAAAATTATCCTATCAAAGCTGTTTTTTTTTAGATTGAATAAAAGGATATTACAGTGCACAATACAACGATTATTTTTATGGATATCAGTATTGTTGTTATATCTGTTAGCACACAAAATGAATTATTTAGCAAAGAGGAGGTTTCGATAAGGTTGTTTATGGTCCATGTATTTTGCAAAACAAAAAATAAATAAAACATAAAAAAATTTAAAAAATAAAATTGGATGCAATGTCTGCCATTGTAATTTTATACAAATAAGTTTGTTTTGCAAATAATTGATAAAATACGACAGCGAAAACATTGCTAAATATTACTATACAATCTAATTTGAAATTCATCATGATCATGGGCCATAAAAACACCCTAATCAAATCCTTTTTTAAAGATGTGGGTCATACCAGCCCCCTTTCTTTCTCTCGGGCTTTTTATCTGTTTGTCCTTGATATTTTAAAAACTTATATTAATATGAAAATATGATACAATAAATAGGAACAAAGAAACCAGGTTAAAACTAATAACATCTTGATGCACAAAGGCATAGTTTTCGTAGACGACAGGATCTCGATCTTAACTCTCGATAGATTCTACTGGATGTTCCATTAGAAACAATTTGAAAATACAAATAACGAAAATATGATAACCCCCCCCCCCCCCCCCCCCCCATTTCAGCTCTTGACATCTATACTACTATATTAAAATAATAGACTCGAATTTTTGGCCTTTAATACCGATAAATCGGAAGAGTACTGGCGTTTGTTTTATATATTTTAAACATCATTGGTACTTGAAGATTACCAATTTGTTTTTATTTCTTCTCAATTAAGCTTCGCTAATTAATAATCAACGAAAATTCCTTAAAAAATTCCGGAAATCATCTGGATTTTTTGGATTTTACAATCTTGCGCGTGCGCATTACATTCAGAGTGTGACTAAAATGGGTAGTAAAACCCGGGCCGGGCCGGGAATATAGGACTAAATCTTTCAGACCCGGTTTTTTCTCATGGTCAGTTGTATGTAGCTTTGTCAAAGGTTCATTCCTTTCAGGCAGTCACAATTCTTTTAACACAGAGATCATCTTCCAATGGACAATACACAACTGAAAACATTGTTTACAAAGAAGTTTTGAACTGAAAATATGTTACTATTTTTATTTTTACTACTTTTTCTATGTACTAATTCAAGGATATTACATTAATTTTTATCAAAACAGACAGCCATATGAGCATTTTCTTATATCATATATAAAGTACATTTGATATTCTTAATTTTTATTACGATCTCTTGAACAAACAGTACGTTTTTTGGGAGGGGGGGGGATTTGCAAGATAATCTGTTTTGCTTCACATCTGCTAAATTGTGTAAAAATACCAGTATAGCACATTTGTCCATTTTCATTTCTGCTTTTACAGATTATATACATGTCTATTACCTGTGTATATATAAAGTATATGTATTAGCAGTGCTTAACTCTTTTATTGTCGAGGTCCTATTTTGAACAAGTTGAGACCTGCAGTGTTAAAATTGTTACAAAATTGTTACAGCTTTAGTTTAATAACTGATTGTGTAAAAATACCAGCGTTGCACATTTCTTCATTTCCATTACTTTGCTTGATATGTACCAGCAGTGCTCAACTCTTTGTTGCTGTCATATTTTCAATAAATATCCACAATTTCTTTTATTAAATTTGTTTGCAAAGGTGAAATTTATGTAAGCTCCGGCGTGTTTCGAACACAGGACTTGATTTATAGCTAACTGGGGGTCAAACCCATTCTGCGCTACGCCGTTACGCAACAATTTTGCAAAAAACAAACAAACAAACAAACAAACAAAAAACAGAATTATATTCACATTCATTGTTTATTTCAAAAGTACCTAACAAAATGAATGTGTCGATCTATCTATTTTGTAAATGTCCGATATGCACATGGATGCATTCCCGTGCACGCACGGGTCAAAGTCTAGTTTTTTTTTATTTGAATATTTCGGATTTCCAACGTTTCGGCATGAGCATTACTGAAGAGACATGATTTGTCGAAATGCGCATCTGGTGCATCAAAATTTGTACAGTACAAGTTTTATATATTCCATGTAATTATATTTATTAGAAACTCAATGGAGTTTTGTTAGGGTATATAATATTCTCAATAGTACTGAAATAACAGTTCAGTACCAATAACCTTCGGATACTGTGCCGATTTGACAAACCTTTAAATTTCAAATTGATTTTGATATGCTGCAGTCTGCTAGATTTGACACGTATCATCTCTGTCGAAGTAATTATCACATTATTCTGTCAAATAATCATATATGGACCTTTCGAAATTGTGTCTATACTCATACACTAAACATCTACTGAATTATTTTAAGCCCAAAACAGCTATCATTAGAACGTCCCAAATTCGCCTAGGATGAAACATTTAAGTCCTCTGTAATACATTGTGTTGTTCAGAATTTGGTTATTGGTGAAATAGAAATACATTAGCAGGTGTCTCTTTTTGCGTAGAATGTAAAGGGAAGTGAATAGTTAAGCAGGCTGCAGATATGCTCGAGCTAGTAACCGCTCCCAAACTCCAATTCTTTATTTTTTTAGAAGTCATACGACATAAAGCTTTATGCATATGGCTGTTTCTTCTAAAAATTAAGGAACGAAAGATGAAGAAAACACTAGTAACTAACTCGTTAATATAACTGGAAATGACTTTTCACCACTCATAATTAATTTCGATTCGTAAGAATAATTTTCAAGACGTTTTTACTTCGCATTTTACTTGAACCCCAATATTTGTATTGTCCTTGCAGGATATTTTTGACTAGGTGTCCTAATCTTTGAATTAAAATTAAGAACTTCAAGATTAGATTCACTTCTATCTTATTGCTTACATGTGGGACTCGACAGAGGGATTCTTTTGTAAAGAATGAAAAGTTAGTCAACCAAGAAGGTCCATAAGGTAAAATATTTTACATTTACTTGTCCTAATTCTGGAACTGTATGTATACATGTAAATATTCATCTAGCTGGTCAGTGAATGATTCCAGAATTAGTAGTGTGTTGTAGCATATTCGAAGTGAGGGTGTGATATAACTATAATGAATCACTGCAACCAATCAAATCCCCGGTGGATCGAATTCTCCAAAATAAAAGAAAATAAATAAAAATTAAGTCATTAATTGTGAGAGAGTGCTTAAACAGATATCAGTGGCCATAGAAATATAATTATGTTCCATTACATCCTTTTTTCAATACGAGTTCCGTATTTAATCAAAATTAAGAGACACTTATTTTGACAATTGAACAAAAGAAAGAGAATTAGAGAATAAAAGTAACTAAAATACCTATAAACTACACGTAGTTACTGAACTTATTTTCCTCGGCAAAACTTTATTTCTACAGAGTTTAAAAACGTCACCCTAGATTTGGTCACTTTGCGGATCACGGCAATCATTTAAATGCTCCATAGATCTACATGTAGCAACCAATTAAATGCTCGGTAGGATACAAACGGTAGGGACAACCCCTATATGTTTCATTCTTCCCAATTATACTTTTGTTTCTGTAATATATATATATATATATATATATATATATATATATATATATATATATATATATATATATATATATATATATATATATATATATATATATATATATAATTTTCTTTGTGAAAATAATGAAACATAGAGGGGTTGTCCCAGAATTTTGTACTACGATCTTAAAAACAAATCAAAATAAAATGTATCTATATACAATTTTCTAAGTGTATATTTTTGTGTCGTTAATTGATAAATTGAAAAGATTTACCATGTTTACTTGAAAAAACCTTGAAGTGATTAGAATTGTGTATAACTGTTATCGTGTCCTACCATCTGATGCAATCTCTGAGGTCAGAAAGACGTAAACGTCACCTGAGCGAGGAAGGAGACATGCATATTGTTTAAGAGCATCACGTTCTTTACTTTTTTCGAAAAGGTTTTCAATATAAAATTATATCATTGTTGTTATGATATGTAACAATAAAGTGGATAAAATACACTGTAGCATTCATGTATATGCATCAAATACACGTAAATTTAATGTAATTTGATTTAATGTAAATTATATGTAATGTAATCCATCTCTATTTTTTTACGGTTCTTTGCCTTCCCAAAAGAAGATCCACAGTGTCGCTTTGACAACAATTAATTTGTTTATTTCGTTCCACCAGTCTCTTTCAGAGGTTCTTTTCTTCATGTCAGAAAACTGCTTGACTGTATTATTCAAGCACAATGCTATAGAAATGTAAAACATGTCTGTGTCTGGACGATGATATGCGTCTGTGTTGGATTGAATTCAAGTTCATTACAGCTCAGACCACTGCTGGTGTTCACATAAGAAACATTGGTATCAAACTATGAAAATAAACTTATAGAATTCTTATTAATTAAAAAGGCATAATTATGCGAAAAATACTGGAGGAAAGGTTCTTAACTGTTTCATCTTATTGTATCTTCAAAACTTGGACCAGAAATTACATTTTCGCCAAGATCTTAACCTCCATATGACATGGAGAGAGAAAAGTAGTTATTCTCAGCAATAAAAAAAAATTAAATCATTATGCTCATTATGATTGTCAACCAGTTGCTAGCATCATTATGTTCATTCAATTACCGTTCGTTGACAATTGTTAGATTTCGTGTAATTCCAGAAATATTCCTGCACAGATCGTGACCATTAACGATTTCGAAATTTCTAAATTGTTTTGACAGTTACATTTAGGGCAAAAGTCCATCAGTGCAAAATAGAGATTATGTAAATCTTTATTACTTTAAATTTCAAAATATTACTAACTGATGATTTCCTCGCATTAATAATTTAAAGAAAAATTGCATCATCGTGAAATAACTTCCTCATAATTATAATATAGATGATGTTAACAGAGATAGATATTTAGACCGACCCTTCGGACCTTCAGACCTTTGAAAGAGACATTGGTAATTGTCCAAGTTTATTGAAAATTAATCGTGATTGGTCATCACTAATTATGCCCTTGACTATATAAAGGTTACTTCGGCAATGTTCTTGTA